AGATGGTTTTTGCTCCAGGAAGGCAGCTGGAGCCCAAATGCCCATCCCTGCTGAGCACACACCAACCCTGCATTCTCCCAAACAGGGCTATGCTGGATGAATCATCATGCTTGAACATGTAATAATACGGGTTTTTTTCAATTTTTTTCTCCCTCTCTTCTATTTTTAAAACCTTAAGGGTGCCCTTTGATTACACTTTCTCAGCTTCTCGCTCAGCCCTCGAGGCTGGGGCCCTGTGAATTTTAAACAAAAGCTGAGACTTTCGCATCAGCAGGCTGGGGTGCCAGGGCAGGAGCAGCAGGCAGGGTTTTTGCTCCCCCACACTCTTTTTCACGTGTCACCCTGGTTTCTCCCAGCCTGGCAGGCAGCCACATGACAGCCCAGTCACTGCCTCCTGCCCCTGGCACGTGGAGTCCCCCACGCCTCGGTGTGACCAAATCCTGGCCCAAACCTGTCCCATTGCCAGGCTGGTTTCCTCACTCTGTGCCTCAAGTGTTGGAGAGGGCCTCTGTCACCCCCAAAAGGTGGCAGGACCCGATGGCAGGGGCTCACAGAGCTGCTTGTGTGCTGCCATGTGTGGGTGCTGGCTGAGCAGCCGAGGCATTTGGCTGCCCCTAATCCTCCCTGCCTGCAATCAAAGCTGGGCCGAGGGGAAGCAGGCAGATGGGGTGCAGAGTCTGCCTGAAGCAGACCTGCACTTTGCTCCCCTCCCCAGGACTATCTGCTGGTACAATTAAAAATTGATGTGGCCTGGGGACCAAAGGCATCCTCAAAGCTTGAGATTAAACCCCCCCAGGTCCATGCTGCCTGCAGCCACGGGTCCTGCTGCTGTGCTGACCCAGGAGCAGCTGCTGTGTCCAGGGGAGAATGGTGGGAGCCAGCGTCTGGCAGGAAACCTCATGGATGGTTTAGATACTGACCACAAGCTAAACCCTCGGTGATTTGATCCCTTTCCCCTTTCCCACACAGCAAGGAGGAAAGCAACACTCTGATCTCAGCTGAGAAGCCAAGGGAGGGAAAAGCATCCTTGAACGGCATCTTTCTAAACCCTGCCCATGGAAACACGCTGCTTGTAGCATTAAATATGGCTGTGACAGCAAAACACCTTGTTTAAATATCTGGTGCACCGGGACTCTGCCTGTTGCCTCACAAACAGGCTTGGCACACCCTCTCTCTTCATCCCCCATCATCATCCATGGGTTTTGAGTTGCTCCCGACCCACCTCCAGCTGAGGTGGGGCTGGGCAGGGGCTGCTCCCTGGTGTGTCCCTCTCCCCCCTCCCTCCACACAGATCTGTACCAGCTTGGGTTTTACAGGCAATGTTCAAGGGGATTTTAGGTGGTGAAAGGAGATGCTTTTCCACAAGTGCCTCATCCATCACCACTTCACACCACCACAGACTGGTAGGGATGGTTTTGCAGCACCCTCCCTGAGGCTTTCCTGGTCTAAATCAGGAGGACATGGGAGTATCCTTCCTTTGATTCAAAGCACATTTTTTGGGGGTGGGACACACCAGGCAGAGCACTGTCTTTTCCATCAAACCATCCTAGACATAAAATGCTTCCACCACCACTAACCAGCCCCTTGCCATTGCCATTACCACCCTGGGGGGCATCTCCATGTGCCTTCACCAGGAGGAGCTTCCCACACTGTCCTTCCCCTCCAAATCCCCTCTCCCACCACAGCAAAGGCAGCAAACATCTGGCTCACCGTCATGGGGACGGATATTAAGGATAAGCCCACTTTGGCCACTTTTCTCTTAGGCTGTGGTCCCTAGACCAGCTAGAAACCACCTCAGCCTGCTCTGACACCTTCCCTGGGGAGCTCATTGTGAGATCTGAGAGCTGAGCATGGCATGTTTCCCTGTGGCTACTTCATGTTTTACCACAGAGCAATAAAAATAGGATTTGATATTTGCAGCACTTGGCCGGGGCAAACCGGTACAAAACCAGTGAAGATTCCCTCCTGGCATGAAGCAAAGTTTCCAGCCTTGCTAAGTGAGCTTTTATTCACACGTCCCTCTTATTTACACCACGTGTGCCGGCACCTCCGAGGGAGGCTCCAGCTTGGGGACGGGTGGTGACGCACGCCAGCATCCTTGCCAACAGGAACTGGAATCCCAAGTCAGGCAGGAACGGGCAAGGAAGGCCGGTGTGGGGGCTGCACTGAGCTGTGCAGCAGCTTATCCCCACGGAGCAGCTTTCCTGCACCCCTGTCAGCTGGGATCGTTTATCTCCTCCTATCGACCAGGAGTTACAGAAAATAAATATGTGCAGATATTGCCAGAGTTCTGTATAGGCCTTATCCCTACAGCTGGGGGGGGGACTGGCTCTGATTTGAGGGGAAGGGGGGCTGCACTGCTGCTCTGTGGGGTTGGGGCAATGCTTTTTGGGGTGCACCTGTGCATGCTCACACCGGGATCCTCCTGGGATGCTGGGGAGAGTAAAGCTCTTTAAAAACAAGTAACCCCCTTGACCTTACTACTAGAGCTGGAAATAACTTTCTAATCACTTTTCCTTGATCCAAAAAAATGAAGATCTGATGAGAAGCATCTGACAACTCTTTTTTTCTTCTTCCTTTTGATTTAGGGTTTTGCATCACAAAAGTTGGAAAACTTCCAACTTGCTAATTTTTTTTCTCCTCTTCCCCCTTCTATAAAAACCCCAAAGCAATGGAAGATGAGTACCAAAGCAAATATTTCTGGCAGATTTTCCTGCACAACCTCTTTCAGGGCCAAGTCCTCCTGAGCTTCTTGCAGCCCACTGTGTCCCCATGGCAAGAACCAGGGAGGAACACCCCGGTGCTCCTCCAGTGATGGCTGATGCACGGCCCACACTGTCACACCTCGTGAGCTCCGTCTTACAAAGAGCTTGTGGCAATTTCTAGAGACACCTCCCACCCTGGGGATGGCAGTGGGGTCACTTCTGCAGTGGTGCCCTCATCCAAAATGGCTTGAAAAGCTGAGGGAGGCATGTGAGATGGGGATGCTCAGGTGGGTTGCAAAAGCCTCCCTCTGCTGCCCTTGGAGCAGACAGCAACAGCAGCAACAGCAGCAACACCCTCAGCATAACCTCAGAGTTATGCAGAGGTCCTGCTCACTTCCATGCTGACGGCAGCTCCAGAGCCACGTGCTCCACCACTAATCAGCCTGGGTTCGATAATTAAGATGTTAGCTAATTGTTAGGGACATTAACATTGATTTGTGCCCTTTCATGATGCAGGAGCAGATCTCGAGATACAGAAACTGGGAAGCACGCAGTGGGGAGAGGGGCAGTGGTATTTGCCAGGTGCTGTTGGGAAGCACAGGAAGATTCCAGACGGACTCTGTGCATGCTGAGCTGAAGCCCAGAGCCAAAGCAAACCCCACTGCCCATGGTGGGTACATGATACCTTTCATGGGAGGGCTGTGGCATTGCTCAGTCACAGGGGCTGGTCCCTGGGGCACAGTGGGAGCAAAGGGGCACCTGTGCAGGAGCGATGGGGAGGGGGCTCCAGCTCCCTGGGGACACCTTTTAGTGGGAACAAACATCAAACCCAGCGACTGAGTCACCTTCTCATTAAGAATGGAAAAGCTTTATCAAATTAAGGCCACTTAAAAGAGCCTGGGCAAAGGCTAAGTGCAGTTTAGCTCCTGAAGTGGATTGACTCAGCTGAGCCGTGTCCATCTGTGAATTCACGCAGGCGCCCAGGCCACCTCTTGCTCTGCTGCTTGCACACCTCGGGACCAACAATCCTAAAGGGTTCAATTTGAGCAGGATGCTCCCATTGCTCCGGAGCCACCGGCCTCACCTGGGGCTTGTGAAACGCACCTGCCCTACAGCCAGCCCTGTCTCCTGTGCCCCGGCTGGACTGTGGCTTGCGGGGAGCTGCAGCGCCGGGCTGGCATCCGCAGGCTCCCGAGGAAGCGCCAGGGCCTCATTGATCTGCCGGGCTAATTAAGAGAGCGAAGCTGGCCCCGCCGGAGCGACAGCAGCGCGGTAATCGCTGGCAAAGCGGGCACGGCGGGGTGCTGGCAGCCACCTGGCAGCCGGCCTCGGCCACACGGCTCCGGGCGGCGAGCGTGGGGACAGCCACGCCGAGCCTCGCTGCTGAGGACACGGCCCTGGCTGTGAAAGGATTCTCGCTGGGCTCCCGCTGGCCACCCTCTGCAGCCCGGTCAGTCGCCAGAGCCGAGGGACTCCAAGCCACTGCCCTCCTGTCAGCTCACGAGACCAGCTGGAAAACCTGTAGGACTCGGTGACTTGGGTTCCTTTTATTAGCTTTTCTTCACATCCTCAAGAGCGAGGCACTTGAAGATGAGAGTAAAGGAAAATAACAGAAAATCCCAGGACTCAGGGAACCCAGGATTTGCATAAGACATCAAATGAGTCGAAGCCTGGGCCGCTGTCAGGGGAGACGGCAGCTGCGTGCAGAGTCGCACCAGTGCCATGTGTTCTGCCCTCTGGCTTTGCACACCCGAGACTTTCACACCTACAGGCAAAAAGCCGCTTAAATAAAGCAAATAAATGTGCAAAATACAATTTCCCTCCCCCAGCACGGTGACGGCAACAGCAGCTACGGCTTCCCCACATTGCACTGAGCTCTCAGACTGAAGAATCCCTGCAGATGGATCTTTAGGACAAGGGAAGAGCAGACCTGCTCATGAGGAGATGGGGATAAAGAGCAACCCTGCGCACAAGGGGCCAGGGAAAGAGAGCAGCCCTGCAGCCTCCTCCCCGGGGGGGATGGCTCCTTCCTCCTGACAGATCTGCAAGCCCAGTACCATCCTCATGCAGGAGCTGGGGGCAGTGCAAGGCGAGGAACACCGCTCCCCTTCCCTGCCTTGCCTTCACACGAGTGACAAGTGTCACGGACAGGCAGCGATGCACAAGTGTAGCTCAACGTTAGCAGCACAGGATAAATAATACGGTGGTGTTGGGCAGAGAGGGAGCTCTCCTCCGGGGTGGCAGAGTGGGGCCACTCCCCTCTCCAGCACCCTGCTGCTCCCCAGGTCTCCAAACTGTCGCTGAACGGCCAAAAAAGGCAGCTCCGCTTCAGAAAAAGTGCAGGGGCCTCATCGCAGCGACTCCGGGCTGGCAGGGACCCTCCTGGCGGCTGACGAGAGGGGACACTGACATCTGCCGGCGGTCCCACCCGGCCCGCAGCGCCCAGGCTCAGCGCGCCGGCCCCGGGACCGCCGCCGCCGCTCCAGGGCAGCCGCACCGGGTCCCCGGGGAGGGACCGGGCATCGCCGCGCCGAGAGCTGATGCTCTCCAGCGCTTTAAGGACACGCAGGTTTGTTTCTCACTGGAAAGATGAGTGCTCAGGGAAGGGAAGGGAGCGGGGACCGCCAGGCTCCCGGAGCTGTGCAGGTGAGCGCCCGAGACGAGCAGACATCTCCCGACGGGTCACGCACCCACTGCTCGATCCGATGCTCCGGGCGGCGGAGAGGGGCCCTGCGGTGCGGGGAACGGAGATTCCCCCACAGGCTATTGAATAATCGGGGCTCATCGGAGAAATGTGCGTTTTAATGTGCGGGGGCATCTCCCCCGGTCCCTGCGGGCGCGGGGTGTCTCACACCGGCATTTCACGCCGAGCAGCGCACTCAGCACACAGCAGCGGGTCCCAGCATCCCGGGCATCCCGTTTATCCCGCAGGCGCCCGGTCCCACCGGGCCGGCCGCAGCCGCCGTCACCGGCGGGCCCCGCTCCGGGGTGGCTCTCGGTACCTGCCCCGACACCCGAGCGAGCCCGGGAGGCTGCGAAGCGAGCCCGGAGCGGGGACACAACTTGACCAAGGTCACCGAGCGAACCGGCGTCAGCTCCCGGGATCTCCGCCCTTGCGGGGCCGCCGCTGGCCCGCAGCACTCCTTCCCCACCCCGTCACCGGGGCATCCCCACGCCGGCTCCAACCCCGCGCCCCAACTCCTGCCCGCGACCCCGCAGACTCACCCCAGGCTCCAAAGCAGCGCCGGCGGGGCACCGGCCGCCTGTCCCCGGCGTGTCGCTCCGGTGCGGCTCAGCGGCCCCGGGCGCTGCCCCGCCGCCGCCTGCGGGCCGCGCCATGTGCGGGCGGCCGGGCGGG